GGGATGACAATACAAGAAATGCCAGCTGCGCAAGGGTTTGCTTTGGCAGCTGTGTGACTGTCTGTAGGTGGAGAGGTGGCGGCGGCTCTAACCCTTGCAGCTCCCTGGCCTTCCCTCACAGCCCATTACAGATGTTTTCTTCTGCTCTGCTCTCTCTCAGGGCCCCTTCTGCCACTCTGAGCCGCTGCTTCTCCAGGCTTATGTAAATTTCCTGGGGCCTTTGCTGCCCTGGCTTCCGCGGATCCCTTTATCTGTTGCCAACACTGGATTCTCCTAATCTTGCTTTGAGCTGAGAGGCATCCACAGTCGGGAGGGGTGAGGCTCCCCTGCCTAGGAGGTGGGACCGTTCCCTGGCTATATGCTTTATTTCAAAGTTACCGATCACAGAAGGAATGAGCATGAAGTAACAGCTTATCAGAGGGCCTGCTCAGGCAAGACCCTCTGGAGACAGTTCACCCGCCCCAACCTAGTTCCGAAACCTTTACTGAGTGCCACAGGGAATGAAAAAAAAAAATTTTTTTTTTTTTCCTAGACAGGGTTTCTCTGTGTAGCCCTGGCTGTCCTGGAACTCATTCTGTAGACCAGGCTGGCCTCGATCTCAGAGATCTACCTGCCTCTGCCTTCCAAGCGCGGGGTATGAAAAGCATGCGTGACCACTCCCAACATGGAAAAAAAAGTTAGAGTAAAAGAAGTGCTCCCCATTTTCCCGTGGGTGTGCAGACACACTGACTAGGTGCTCTTTAACTGGCACGACTCTCAAGGGGACTCAGAGCTTAGGCAGAGGGAAAAGCCTGCTGCCTAAGTCATTTAGTTCTCTCTGGAGGGTGCATAGCTTTTCCAGAAAGTTCTCTAGCTTGGCTTAAGCTGCCTTTTGCTTCCCCACTGAGTCACTCACACCATGAAATGTCAGAGCAGCTGGCCAAACACCAAGTGCCCAAGTTAAAACAATAAAGGCTTTTTGGAGCCCCCAGCTTGCTGATGTGAGAGCTGTTTCCTAAACAAAACAATCCCACGGAGCCTCTGCCACCTGCTGGCAAACACTTCCTGCCTGCGTGGATAATCTCAGAGCAGAACCTGTTATGGTGTGTTCTGTAAACTGCTCCAGTGTCTTCAGTTTTGTATTGTTTGCACCGAGCTAACACTCTAGAAAGAATCGTGTAGCAAGTGGACAACCAGATTAGACAGATCAGTGACACAGTTTGCAAGGGTCGGGATCCCAGGCCAGTGTGTGTGTGTGTGTGTGTGGTTGTGTGTGGTTGTGTGTGGTGTGTGTGTGTGGTTGCACATGAATGTATGTGCTAGGAAACCTCTAAAATATCACGGGAGGCGAAGATTACACTTAGCAAACTCTTCTCCGGGACCACTACTGGTCAGGGAGTAAGTACAGCTGCCGGGGCTAAGAGCCTTCGAGAGATGAGTGTGAATGCTGTTACCAAACCTTTGTTTCCTTTGGAGACCTCAGAGCAGAGTCAATGGCTTAGCAGAGAAGACACTGAGCCCTGCCATCCATGTGTTCCACCTTCCCCCATCCTCCAGCCTCCCCGTGCTCCCCATCGCTCCATTCCCCGAAGCCCACACCCTCCTGCTTCCCATCTATCAGCATGTCTGATGTATCCTGCAAACACTGAGCTGAATTTGAGCATTTCCTTTTCCTTTTTAGTACACCAAGATGCTAGTTTGCCATGGAGTTCCCACACTTGGCCAAAACCCCGATCATCTGGGTTCAAGCTGTGAAAAGGTTACTCTTCCAAAGGTGGGTTTTGTTTTGAGATAAGGCCTTTTTATTTACAACCCAGACGGGTCTTGAACTCCTTGTGATCGTCCTGCCTCAGCCTCGTAGCTGCAGCTGCTGGGATTACCCCACAGAGCCCCCCCGGCCTCTGCCTCCCAAGTGCTGGGATTAAAGGCGTGCGCCACCAATGCCCGGCCAGCCTCGTAGCTGTAGCTGCTGGGATTAGGTGTGTCATCGCCACACCTCACCCTGGAGGGTTTAATCTAGGTGACTTGAATGTGTCACCTGCTGAGAGTGTGTTGTGCCCAAATTCTGAACCCCCAAATCACCAAGAGGTCCATTTCGATGCAAAAGCAAAGAGCCTTTTATTGCAGTTGTTTAAAGAGCCAACCCCATTAGCTACGGCCTTTCATACATCCACCATGGTGGGTGGCTGAAGAAAGATCCCAAAAGCCACGAGACAGGGATCTTGTAGGGCAGCGTAAGGGGAGTGTCTGGGGTACGCACAGGCTCAGGATTGGCGTGCCTCCAGGCTTGGACAACCTGTCCTGTGTTGATTGGTCAACTGGTTGTTATGGCCCATGGCCCTCCCAGGGCAGTTGCTATGCTCTGCACGTCACTGTTGTGCACTTGTGTAAAGCACAGCCAGAGCCATAAAGCACAGCCCTGCCAGCAAACTTCTGATTGGTTCCTTGCCACGAGGAGGGCATCTGACCTCCTAGTGAGCAGGACAGGCCCAGCAAGGTCAGGTGAGCACATGTTTGCCTGGCATGGCTGTCAAAACGGGGGACTGGTCCCTTCAGGTGCAAAGGTGGTAAAAGTGATGAATGCATTAGGGAAAGAAGAGGAAGTGGGAATTTAGCCAAGTCTCATGGCAACAGGTACTGTACTTCCCAGTTCTGTTCCACCCTTATCATCTCATTCTGAGGAAGACTCACCTGAGACTTGGCTCTGCATCCTATCCCTGGGCCTCACACCTGAGGCTCTGACCAGCAGGAATGAGGACTGTTGATGGTGGCAGGTGAAAGGGTGTGTAGAAGAGAAGTGGCTTCGGAATGTGAGCGAGACATTATGTATCCAGTTCCTGTAAGTCATTCATTTATCCTCCCAAGTCCTGTGTTGAAATATAGTTGCCAAGGCAACAGTATTAGGTGTGGGGCCTTTCGGATTTGATTCGATCACAAAGGCATATAGGTGATTAGTCACCCTTAGAGAAGAATTGGACAGTGGCTTTTCCGTCTCCCCAACCTTCTCAACGTGCTTTGTCACAGAATCTGAGGGCACCTTGATCTTAGACCTTCCAGACCTCAGAACTGTGAACAATAAATTTTAATTATAAATCAATAGTTGTGGTGGCTTGAATGAGAATGGCTCCCATAGGCTCATAGATTTGAATGCTTGGTCAACAGGAAGTGGCACCATTTGAAGGGATTAAGAGGTGTCACTGGGGGTGAGGGTGGGGAGGGAGTTGACATTTCAAAAGGGCAAGCCAGGCCCAGTGCCTTTTCTTCCTGCTGCCTGAGTGGAGATCCAGCTACTTCTCAGCTGCTTCTCCAGCACCATGTCGGCTTGCCTGTCACCATGTCCCCACAATGCTGATAATGGACTAATCCTCTGAAACTGTAAGCCAGCCCCAATTAAATCCTTTCCTTTACAAGAGTTGGTGTGGCCATGGTGTCTCTTCCTAGCAACAAAACACTAAGACAAATAGTCTAAGATATTTTTGACACAGTGGCCTGAATAGGCTAAGACCAGTTATTTGGTTGAGACCCCTTGACCCAGAATTCAGCTGAAAAACTATGTTCTTGTAGGTCTGTAGCACAAACTAGTTCAGAAGTTGTGAGCTCTGTCTTGTGCCATTTGTCATTGTACTGTTCAAGGACCTAGCTCTGCAACTGGAACTCTCCTTTCTCTATTTCTTTCCTTTAATGGTTTTATCTTATGTATTCACAAGGACTGTCATTTGTTAGCCCCTCTCCCCAGGAAAGGATAAGCCCTTTGCTCAAAGCTCATTCTCATAATAGAGTGACCTTCTCA